AAAGCAAAATATTCTTTTGTGTAAAAATCAGATATATAGAAGTATAACTTCTCAGGTTAAAGTACATGTTTATTTCTTGATTATGAGAACTCACGTATGTGATGCTTCCCAGGCTTCCTCTTCTTCTAGAAGATCTCTTATGATGTCTGAACTGGAACTAAAAGGATATGTACATCAGTATTGCCAGACAATAAGATGACTGTATGATTCCATTTATATAAAATTCTAGAAAATGCAAACTACTCTATAGAAATCTGCAGACCAGGGATTACCAGTAGGAGTAAGGGGGAAGAAGGGAGGAGTGGGAATGGAAAGGAAGGATGACAAAGTAGCACAAGGAAACTTTGGCAGTGATGAAAATGTTCATCATCTTGATTGTGGAGACAGTTTCATAGTATACATATATCAAAACTCATCAGATTATGTGCTTTAAATATTTGCAGTTTATTATACATCAATTAAATATCAATAAGGATGTGAAAGAATCTTACTAAATTAGCAATAATGGAAAAAAACATTAAAGCTTAAATAAATCCAACATAAAACCTGTATCCAAATGGGATACAGTCATGAGACTTCAATTTCCTATGCCAAGCAAAGATCAAATCATATGTTTTTTTTTATTTCAAAATATTAAGGGGCAAAAATGTTTTTGTTAAAGGGCTTTTAGGGTGTCCATCACCCGAATAGTGTTCATTGTACCATTAGGTGAGTTTTTACCCTTCACCCCTTCTTGATTTCCAGTGTCTTTTACATCTCTTTGTGCCAATGTATGCCCACTAATTAGCTCCCAGTTATTAGAGAGAACATGTGGTATTTATTTTTCCATTCCTGAGATACTTCACTTAGGATAATGGTCTCTAGTTCCATCCAAGTTGCCACAAAAGACATCATTTCATTCCTTTTTATGGCTGAGTAGTACTCCATGGCATCTATACACCACATTTTGTTAATCCACTCATGAATTGATGGGCCCTTAGGGTGATTCCACATCTTTGCAATTGTGAATTGTGTTGCAATAAACATTAGGGTGCAGGTGTCTTTCTGATAAAATGTATTCTTTTCCTTTGGGTAGATTCCCAGTAGTGGGATTGCTGGATCAAATGGTAAGTCTACTTTTAGTTTTGAGGAATCTCCATACTGTTTTCCATAGAGGTTGTACTAATTAGTAGTCCCACCAACAGTGTATAAGCATTCCTTTCTCTCTGCATCCATGCCAGTATCTATTGTTTTCTGATTTTTTTAGTAATGGCCATTCTGACAGGGATAAGGTGGTATCTCATCGTGGTTTTAATTTGCAATTCCCTGATGATTAGAGATGTTGAGCATTTCTTCATCTGTTTGTTGGCCAGTTGTCTATCTTCTTTTGAAAAACTTCTGTTCATGTCTTTTGCCCACTTTTTAATGAGGCTGAGTCTGCGGATTTGTTTGAGTTCTTTGTAGATTCTGGATATTAGCCCTTTATCAGATGTACAGTTTGTGAATATTTTCTCCCATTCTGTAGGTTGTCTATTTACTCTGTTGATTATTTCCTTTGCTGTGCAAAAGCTTTAAAATTTAATTAAGTCCCATTTATTTTACTTTGACAAAGCC